TAACATGTGCGTCTCTCAATGAATAAAGCAAATTGACCGAATTAAATTACGCTTGCACGCTTGTGTTAACACAAAACTATTTGATTCTAGGCAGCATCCAAGAAACTGTCGGAATTCAGCCTCGTATGAGTCTATAAGCAATTACTTTCATAAATCTGTGAAAAACAATTGGTTCCTTGATGATTTTTTCAAACTGCAGCCCGCTCCGCTGATTCACCTTCTCTGTTCTCTCTAGAACTTTCCACGAGATGAACAGTACAGCTCTTTTAGATATCCCTTTAGAATCCCTTTGCCTTTACGATCACCTTTGCATCAAAAACTCGCTGCGAACTCTTCAACTCCAAAAAAAACATACCTAACTCAGCTCAACTCGTAATTCAGCTGAACTTTCTAAGGCTGTGTTAATTCGCCATGCCACACTTCGGAGCTTTTCCGATGCACTTAAAATGGTTTTAAAGACTTCGCTTTGCATTTCCTTTTGCGTACTGCAACCTTCAATGGCTATTTGAGAAGTTCAACCTATAGACTTGGATGATATATCTGGACTATCGATGGAGATCAGTAGGCAGATTGCTTGACGGGTCCTAAGACGCACATTTGAACTCCAAGTAACATAGCCAACCAACAGTTGATCAAAGGCCCATGAGTTCAAGGAAACCAAAAAAATAGACTGACAATCGAATTTTAAAATCATATTTAGTTATCATCTGTAAGCTTTTCGATTCCAAAAATTTTTCTGATTTAACCTTTTCGATCAAGCAAAAGAAAACAAATTTGGGAAGTGGATTAATAGGTAATTTTTTTGTATTCAGCCAGGAAATCTCAATGTTAAAATTCACTTTGAAAAATAGTTATCACGTTTTCGTTCCATTTGAATTTCTTGGAAAGCCTTCTTTTATCAAAGGAATTTGACTTGAACTCGACAAGAAACCAAAAGTCAAATAGCAAAACCAAATTTGAGCGTCAACAGTTTTCCTGAAAAAAAACGCAACCCAAATAAATTGTCTTCACTTCTTTTATTGACACTTAAAGAATCTTGGCAATAGTTCCTATGTCCCTAATTTTCATGTCTTGGACATAATATGATTGCTTCAACATTGTCGAATTATTAGTCAGTAGGAGAATCCCAATTTTTCGTCTAACACCTTATTCTATATATTATTTTATACGCCTTTCTGTTACGGTTTTGCCATAAACTTGATTCATGTACCTGAGAACTGACCTGATTTTCAACAGCATCTAATTTTGGATCAAGTGAACAATCTCCCCCTAAATCAAAATAGGGAGATCGTTCACTTGATTAAATGTAATATTTTTCAGCAGGCCTTACTGCTTCAATTTTGCATTTAATTTTAGAGGGGAGATTGTCAACTAGGTCTTTCTGGGGGGGGGGATGTTGTTCACGTGGTCCCTAATGTTCATAAGTGCATTGTTCACTAGCTAATAAATCTAATTAAATTTTTTTCTCTCTTTGAAATGTCTCGTCCGTTACAAAATGATTAGCACTGATTAAAGTTACAATTTCTCAAAGCCTGAAAAACAAGCGCCATCGATCTAAGTGATAAACTAAATTGCTTGATTCTGCAACCCTCCAGCTTTCAAACTGCACTCAAGCTCTTAGGCTGAAAGCTTGTTTCAAGAAACTTTAATTTTGAAAATAGCTTTTTTCAAGATTCAATTAAACTAATGATAACCTATAAAATTTGAAATACGGCAAACGATTTGGGTGCAAAATAAAACCAACTGGAAGTAACATGTGTTTCTTCGTGTAAATTTTGATGCAAAGGTGATCGTAAAGGCAATCACAATAGGTGATCGTAAAGGTGATATATTACAATAGGTGGTAGGTTCAATTTGAATAGCTGGATCGCTTTTTGTTATACTTCGCACATTGTTTATAATTTGTTTCAAAAGCCAATGAATTTTTGAATATCATTTCATCCGGCAGAGTAATGTATTTACAAAAACGATTAGTATAATTGATTGAAAAGAAATGACTATATTATGCATTATAGTTCTCAAACTTAATACATGCACTACACTGAAATTTACCACCTATTGTAACATATCACCGCTAAGTGGGAAACAGTTTTTGTTTAAAAATGAAGAGAAAAACTATTTAGAAAAATCGTACAGAAATTTCAATTCTGCAGAAGTTTTTTGAATTTTGGATTCCCAAACTGGCGCAAAAAACTCCAAAAACTAACTTTACTCTAAAAATAAACTTTCAGAGCTAAAATTAAGCATAAACAAGTTATTGCAAGCTTGCACGCTTACCTTATTCGCTCGATAATCGACCAAAAATCAAAAATTTGAAACCAGTTTTTCTCGAGAAAAATGTTTCAAAGTTTTTTAAAGTCGCTCGATTCACGACTGAAAGAGCCTTATTGTGACATATCACTCAACCCGTTCCGATGATAATTTGATGTTCCTGATTTTACGAGGAAAACAAAAAACACTAAAAAGCACCCAAATACTAAGTTCTTTCCTTTCAAATGGCCGGAACAAAAAAACTGCTGATTCGAGGTTGGGAATGTGGCTAGGGCTCATATGTCTTAACCTCTCCGCACTAGCCATAAAGCCTTACTATGAACTACGTTGCAGATATTTAAAACTTAGATATCAAGCAGTTAAGAATGCGCTTAAACAACGAGGATACACCTAGATAATACCATGTTTATATAAGGCGTCAACTGCACGTAAAACTCTTTCTAAAATGTGCGTCTCTCAATGAATAAAGCAAATTGACCGAATTAAATTACGCTTGCACGCTTGTGTTAACACAAAACTATTTGATTCTAGGCAGCATCCAAGAAACTGTCGGAATTCAGCCTCGTATGAGTCTATAAGCAATTACTTTCATAAATCTGTGAAAAACAATTGGTTCCTTGATGATTTTTTCAAACTGCAGCCCGCTCCGCTGATTCACCTTCTCTGTTCTCTCTAGAACTTTCCACGAGATGAACAGTACAGCTCTTTTAGATATCCCTTTAGAATCCCTTTGCCTTTACGATCACCTTTGCATCAAAAACTCGCTGCGAACTCTTCAACTCCAAAAAAAACATACCTAACTCAGCTCAACTCGTAATTCAGCTGAACTTTCTAAGGCTGTGTTACTTCGCCATGCCACACTTCGGAGCTTTTCCGATGCACTTAAAATGGTTTTAAAGACTTCGCTTTGCATTTCCTTTTGCGTACTGCAACCTTCAATGGCTATTTGAGAAGTTCAACCTATAGACTTGGATGATATATCTGGACTATCGATGGAGATCAGTAGGCAGATTGCTTGACGGGTCCTAAGTCGCACATTTGAACTCCAAGTAACATAGCCAACCAACAGTTGATCAAAGGCCCATGAGTGTTAACACAAAACTATTTGTGTTAACACAAAACTATTTGATTCTAGGCAGCATCCAAGAAACTGTCGGAATTCAGCCTCGTATGAGTCTATAAGCAATTACTTTCATAAATCTGTGAAAAACAATTGGTTCCTTGATGATTTTTTCAAACTGCAGCCCGCTCCGCTGATTCACCTTCTCTGTTCTCTCTAGAACTTTCCACGAGATGAACAGTACAGCTCTTTTAGATATCCCTTTAGAATCCCTTTGCCTTTACGATCACCTTTGCATCAAAAACTCGCTGCGAACTCTTCAACTCCAAAAAAAACATACCTAACTCAGCTCAACTCGTAATTCAGCTGAACTTTCTAAGGCTGTGTTAATTCGCCATGCCACACTTCGGAGCTTTTCCGATGCACTTAAAATGGTTTTAAAGACTTCGCTTTGCATTTCCTTTTGCGTACTGCAACCTTCAATGGCTATTTGAGAAGTTCAACCTATAGACTTGGATGATATATCTGGACTATCGATGGAGATCAGTAGGCAGATTGCTTGACGGGTCCTAAGACGCACATTTGAACTCCAAGTAACATAGCCAACCAACAGTTGATCAAAGGCCCATGAGTTCAAGGAAACCAAAAAAATAGACTGACAATCGAATTTTAAAATCATATTTAGTTATCATCTGTAAGCTTTTCGATTCCAAAAATTTTTCTGATTTAACCTTTTCGATCAAGCAAAAGAAAACAAATTTGGGAAGTGGATTAATAGGTAATTTTTTTGTATTCAGCCAGGAAATCTCAATGTTAAAATTCACTTTGAAAAATAGTTATCACGTTTTCGTTCCATTTGAATTTCTTGGAAAGCCTTCTTTTATCAAAGGAATTTGACTTGAACTCGACAAGAAACCAAAAGTCAAATAGCAAAACCAAATTTGAGCGTCAACAGTTTTCCTGAAAAAAAACGCAACCCAAATAAATTGTCTTCACTTCTTTTATTGACACTTAAAGAATCTTGGCAATAGTTCCTATGTCCCTAATTTTCATGTCTTGGACATAATATGATTGCTTCAACATTGTCGAATTATTAGTCAGTAGGAGAATCCCAATTTTTCGTCTAACACCTTATTCTATATATTATTTTATACGCCTTTCTGTTACGGTTTTGCCATAAACTTGATTCATGTACCTGAGAACTGACCTGATTTTCAACAGCATCTAATTTTGGATCAAGTGAACAATCTCCCCCTAAATCAAAATAGGGAGATCGTTCACTTGATTAAATGTAATATTTTTCAGCAGGCCTTACTGCTTCAATTTTGCATTTAATTTTAGAGGGGAGATTGTCAACTAGGTCTTTCTGGGGGGGGGGGGGATGTTGTTCACGTGGTCCCTAATGTTCATAAGTGCATTGTTCACTAGCTAATAAATCTAATTAAATTTTTTTCTCTCTTTGAAATGTCTCGTCCGTTACAAAATGATTAGCACTGATTAAAGTTACAATTTCTCAAAGCCTGAAAAACAAGCGCCATCGATCTAAGTGATAGACTAAATTGCTTGATTCTGCAACCCTCCAGCTTTCAAACTGCACTCAAGCTCTTAGGCTGAAAGCTTGTTTCAAGAAACTTTAATTTTGAAAATAGCTTTTTTCAAGATTCAATTAAACTAATGATAACCTATAAAATTTGAAATACGGCAAACGATTTGGGTGCAAAATAAAACCAACTGGAAGTAACATGTGTTTCTTCGTGTAAATTTTGATAGTATATTTCAACAAATGAAGTTAAAGCTTACAAAAATGCTTTTGATAAAGCTTATTCTGGTCAAAAAAAAACTTTTTGTTGCCTGCCTATTTGCCAATAAGTGTGAAACAAGAAGTCGCAAATTTTAGTAAATCTTTTGCAGGCATTTTTGATGGTGGATACAATTCATAAACATAAATAGAATTTAGAAGCAGCTTCAGAATTTTTCGAGCTCAGTAAATATTCAAAAATGGAAAATCAACAAAATTATTCAATTAGAGTCATCGCAGTATTTGCATTGTTCCATATTCTTCGCATAGAGATCTGTTTGTTAATTTTGAGAAGACGCTGCAGGTACCACTCATGGTTAGTCAACGCGCCTTTTTGCGTGACGTCATAATGATCGTCAGGTGTTTGATAGATGACGACTGACCTCAGGTATGCGACTGCCCACTCTGCCCGACACTACTCCTTGGCACCTGCAAAAAATATTGCCTCAGTTTGTTTATTGAAATAAGGGGGGTCCATGTGAAACATCTACCCCTTAAATAGACCAACTGAACAACCTCCCCCTTCTAAAAAATAAATTAAATGACAAATTCAAGTAGTAAGGCCTGGATATACTATGCACAAATCTGATTGGCTGAAAAATAATACTTTTAACCGAGTCAAATATCTCCCTATTTGGATTTTGGGGGTATATAGTTCAGTTGGTCCAAATTAAGCTTCGCTTTGTCTTTATATGAACTTAACTCAGACTCATCATAACTTTGCATCAAATCTTAACGACAGCTGTATGTCGCAATCACGAACTATTACCATGAATGCATGTTAAATAGTATTTCCGGATGGTAAGTAGTTGCAGACAAGATCACGTCAGATTAACGCTCTGATAAATGACCAGAACTTCTAACAAGTTTTATTGGCCGATCAGGGAGAAAGATTGGTAAAATGAGTAAATTAATTAAACAGTGCCAATTAATAATATTTAGATTTCTTTGTTTTAATTGACGTGAAGATTTTGACTCAATTTTATCTTTTCTCGACTTTACGACACGAAGTTTAATAAATACGGCAAAATGAGCTCTAATAATTTTAAATATGAAGAAACGCACTTAAAGAGAAAATAGTCCTGAAAAAAACTGCGGGGACTACGAGTTTGAAGTAACGTATTTGCATGGAAATGTGCGGCTGGTATTGAAAAAAGAACAAGGTCTCGCATTTTGACACAATCTGCGCTACCTACCAGATGCAATGACATCTACATACCTTGGCTTGAATGTAGTCCAGCTGTCGTTCCAGATGAGAGAGTCTTTCGTTGAGGAATGCTAGGCGGGTGTGGCATGAGACGTTGAACTTGTTCAGGAAGTCGGCAATCTTCTTGATGCCGAGAGTGATCGCCTCCAGGTACTGTCTGTTGTCCCAGTCCATCTGGATCTGCCGCACCACTCCACTATTCAACTCTTCATTCCTCGCTGTCGCTGGAAGTCTGCAACACAAAACACTTGCTAACACTAGACAGATTAAGCTATGTTACAAAAAGTGCTGCTCTTCAAAAATAATCGGGAAAAAAAGCGATCTGCCGAAGTTTTCATATCTTAGTCTTGATTTTCTCTTAAACAGAGTTTCTTTTACATACATACCAAGTGAGACAATTGAAAGCTAATTGAGCATCAAAATGAAACTTACAAAGCGCTAACAAAGCCGATATTACCCGAGCAACATACTTTGAGCCGCAAAAATTGTCATAAAAAATTCAAAAGTTAGATTAAGCTTCTTTGATCATAAAATGACTCAATATGGGGCAGCTAAGTCAATATACCAAAAACAGATACCTATATTATAAGCAGATACCTTACAGCCACTTGGAAAAAAGTCACAAAACTCAACAAACCGAATATAAACGACTATTGTTGAAACATTGTAAAAAAATGGCCTTGAAGCTCTTTAAGGCGTTCACTTAGAATGTGTCAGATCATTAATCAATCCCCTGACGTGACAATGATGGTGTTTCAGGACGCGTGCTCACTTGAACTCTAGCTTCAGGTCTACCACAGCCTGACTGAGTTTGGCTGCAATAGTGGTACCTAGTCAAAATTCTAGACGCAAAAAAAAGAGATTGATCATCAAATTAACTCAGTGTGGACCATGGTGAAATAAGAGAAACGGGCTTTGCTTAGACAGGCTGGATAAACTTTCGTAGATTCTCTGCTAATTGCAGAAACCAAAATTATTTATATTTTAATTACTCTTGCTAAATTTCACAAATGAATTTGATTGCGCGTAAACAATTTTTCTTCTGGAAACAAAGTAAACAGGAACTACTTAATTGTAAGAAACCCCCTTCTCCACCACTCCGCATCACCAATCGACTTCTTCATAGGTCCTACCCCCTAGAATTTTGACCCCTATTTGGGGGGATCGAATTTATACCTAAAGTTTTTACTAAAATCCATAAAACTTATAATCAAACTTTAGAAAAATATGCAATTTTCGAGAGCTCTAAAAAAATTTTTTCCAAAGAAAAACAATTTTCACCTGGATTAAATAGCTGAAATTTTATACCAATTTTAATTTTCAAGAAAATGTTTGGCTCTAATTAACCATTTTGTTTATCAGATTTGATTCAAAGAAAACGTGCCAAAAATGCTCTTTCCTACTTTCAGCATGTTTTAGAATCTTATATTTTTAAAAAAATTATAGGACTGATCGACCAGGAACAGGTATTTAAAAAATGTACCAAATAAGGAGCTTTAAGCAGTGAGTTGGTCGAGTTACTGAACGTGCGTTTAAGGATCCAGTCATAATTGTGAAACCAAGAAGACAACATTGTAATACATACACGGCTCCGAAGGATCTGTTGCTCAAAGTTTTATTGGATACATGTTCCATCCTTGTTCCCCTGTTATATGCACCTGGAGGCATCGCATATCCTCCGCCCATTTGCTGCTGCTGCAGATTGGGATCCATCATCTGGGGAGGTCCGCCGCCGCCACCACCCGCATTGGGGTATCCCATTTGAGGCTGACCGTAGGGTATTCCTGCTCCATTTGGGGTACTCGGACTATAACCACGCACACTCATTATAACTGATCTGAAATCAAAACAGCATTATTACAATTAACTTGGTTCCTACGCTATATTTCATTGTGATATCTTCATAATACTCTAAATTGATCGAGCACTTTTGTAATGGTATTCACTAATTGATATTAGCACCTGAAACTGAAAGGAAATCATAGATCCCAAAAACAGCATCCAGAGGATGCATTATCTCTGGTTCCTAAGATATATTTTGCTCCTGGTTCCCAATACTTAAATAAAACAGTTTGGTTTGAGAATTCCAAGTTCAATTTGGAGCAAAGATGTTTGAAAGAACGTACAAAACTCTTTCTCGGCCTAACCCCAACTACACAGAAGGTGATTTACTATTTTCACTCCTTTATAAGAATGATTTAAGAAAAGCACCGCAAACAATCCTTCTTCTGAGAAAGAAAAATAGTGATCGCCCGCTAATATGAAGATATAAATAGCAGCATTTATTTCAGATTTTGCAACATTATATTTCGGCAGTAGCATTAAGGAACAGATGCATGAAATCATCTTGAACTCACAATTGTTTAATCACCATGATTATTGTCCACAGAAACACATAGGAACGAATGTTGCAGCTAAAACTATATTTTATCTTTTTTTTATAATTGTACCCAAGGCCTACTTTTTGGTTTTTCGATTTGAAGACGTCTGCAGGACCATAGCAATCATGCAATCTATCATTATGTTTAAATCTTTTGAGTATTCCCCTCTAAGTGACTTATCGCAGCTCAGTCACCGCATACCTTTATACCGTAGTATAACGGGGTCACCAAGGCTCGATACTATTACAATCCCAAAAGGGGTATGTTGATGGTCAGACTAAATCGGCTGATAAAAGGGTTTTGCAACTTTCCCATGATATGTGATATACCCTTTTGGACTTCTCTCTCCTCTCTCCTCTCTCCTCTCTCTCCTCTCTCCTCTCTCCTCTCTCCTCTCTCCTCTCCTCTCCTCTCCTCTCTCTCTCTCTCTCTCTCTCTCAATTACACACAATTAAGCCCGCTTTTCGCTTCAAAAACCTCTCGATAGCTTACAGTTTCCACAAATTTATTAGATACATGGTAAAAATCGCTTGTCGATCATCACTTGACTCGAATCCTCAGTTCACCACCTACAGTTAAACAATTCGCGCAAGCGAAATCAAGCACGGTAATTGACCTCGTGTTCAACTACTATCTGAGTAGCAATCAACTATCGACTGTTCGCTCATGAACTACTCCAATTGCAAACCGGGTTCTAACCTCGGGTCAGTTCAATTCAACTATCTCTTTGATTCAATAACTGAGACACAGAGACCTTTAACGGGGCATGTTTTCTCCAGTCTTCTCCGATTCTATTCTTTTACTCATGAGAGCCATCTATAATAACTTCACAAATTCTCTTTGGGTTTTAGATTTATTTAGAGTTATGATCGCCCTATTAAATCCTGACAATCACTTTTGTACTTCCTACACAAGGCCTTAAGCTACAAAATTCCGACAATGTTTTGCACAATTTCCCTAATTCGATAGAAAGGGTGCTTTTCACAGGTGCTAAAAATGTCCGGTCCAACTTCCGATTTGATTCGAATTATAACAAAAGATGTATCTAGCCAAGAGGTTAAGGCGAACCATTAAGGACGCTACTACCGATTGGAGCACGAAACCCGAAAATATCACGTAGAATTCCTGCATCACTCCTGTCGAGCCCTATGCGCTGACTGCGCGGAAGACTACAGGAAGTTACTTAGCGACGAACCGATGTTGAAACCATTGCCGGAGGAATGAATCCAGATTTGACGTAGGTTGGAGCTGGAGATATGAAATAGCCCAGTTCTCACAGAGGATTGAACCATGTCGACCTTCTTCGATACGAGTCGGTGACATAAAAATGCACTTATCCCATTTGCTTGATGGACATCATCTATCACCTACTCCTCGGGACAACTAATAATTCAAAAAGTTCAATAGACTCTTGTGGAAATCGCACATGCAAAACACTACAGCACACTAGCGCTTTAGAACCGAACGAAACAAAATTTTCGGGAGCAAATTCACTTTTCAAGCTGAAAATTGAACTCAACTGCACATATACTTAAGAGCATAAGACCTGATCAATAAAGAATAAAATTAAGACAGATAAAAGCTTCTAACGCCCTTGCATGAGATAGCAATTTCTTTTTCTCGCTTATAGTATTCATTAGTCAGAGCTAAGCTAGGTGCTATCCGTCAAATTAAACATCGCGTGCCTTTTAGTCACTTTCACTATTCTGGTCTATAAAACCGACAACGAAGTTTACGCATACCACAATGGTAACCCAAGAAGTCATTATTCCTAACTTAAACGAAGCTCAGCTGGACGCCTTGGTCGAAAAGCTTCCAATCTCACATTCAGGTAACAAAAATTTTACCGAGAGGACAAGTTTGCTTTACATGACCAGAATGTTACTTCGACCTAACAAAAGGTACATGAGGTTAGGTTAAGCCATCGATGACGCTACGAACGATTGGAGCATTAAATCCGTACAAAGTATCACGTATAGTACCTGCTTCACTACTGTCCTACTGTCGTGCCCTCTGCACAGGTTGAGGCTGGCGATAGGAAGTTACCGTTGTCACAGAGGGTTGCGTATCGTATAACGATGAATCTTCGAGTCCTATCAGTTCGTCTTGTCGACTCGAGCAGGGCCAAAAGACTAAAGGGAACAAAATCGCTGGGCATACGAGTGCTCGAAAACGGTCAGAAGCAATTTATTTCATGTATAAGATCCGAACTGAGGGGCTACAATCGGGAGAAGTGTACTCTCTACTTATTATGAGCCTACGTCGACGATGTATCGATATTAGTCTAGAATTAATTTCACATTTTCAAATAAAATCGCGAGAAGTAATGGTAAATTAGATAGTCAAGAAAATTCCGCAATTAACCGAAAAGTTAAACATCGCTACAGTTTTTCAACATTTTCCGGCTATTTGAAACATATGAAAACCCGGAAAATCATTGATAGCCTTGGCATTAATTTTGCTAAATCTGACTATTAAGTCACAAAAAATTTGGTTTTAGTAACCTAATCAACAGATAAATATGTGCCAGAAAGGGCTCCAGTCATTTAAAAACTTATCTTTCTCCTTGTCCTAATTACTTTTCAAAACTAAGCTACAAGTTCCTTATTGAATTTACTATCCAGTACCCTTTAGTCAAATTCACTACAATGGACTACGAAACTTCCAACGAAAACTTCGCATACCACAAATTTCTCAAGTATCCTCCCCTGCTCAAATTCCGATTTTCAATTTCGCTCTAGGTATGTTCCGACCATCGTAGAGCTCTGAGAACATCAGCATTGGCTAGTTGAGCTAAGATAAGCCGCCCTCTAATGTTCAAGCTCAAAAATCCGATTAAGATGATTTTACAGTCTTTTCCGATATGATTTTGAAACTGTTGGTAAATTAGTTTCAAGCATGTTTTTGCCAATTTATATATTGTTTTCGAGAAGACCTGCTCAAGAGCTACACGACGGTACCAATTTTTTCTTAATTTTGGACAAATATAACTACCTAACCCTAGATGTTAAAAAACTGAGCCAAAGTTGGGGTCTAGCAAAAGATAGCACCAAGGCCATAACTTAATGAAAAACAATCGGAAAATAAAAGTAAACACAGTTTTATAAACCCCTATAACAGGGCTTTCCAATGATATAAAAACATCTAAAATATGCATAAAAATTAGACCCAACTCTTGACATGTCGGGTCAGACTCATAGGTTGGAAAATGAAACTCGACACAACAAGTGACTTAAAACTTCAACTTATTGTCTTACGTTTCAAAACCCCAAAAAATGACCAAGTACGGGTTATTTTGAACGAGAAACACAACTAAACTATCAGTTTTACGAAATTCCTATATGTTGGACGATTTCTGGCACTTTTTTGCTCTAAAACCATGAGTTTTTCTGATAATTCTGGATATATTTTTTAGCATTTAACCTTTACAGACAGCTCCTTTTGAGTACAACGGCTGAAAAACTGTGCAATAGAGGATTCCAATGGTACAAGATAATTGAAAAAAAAAAGAAATTATTTGGTAACCAAATTGGGCCTAGAAAAGTTGGGTCTAACGCTAACTTTCGTGAAAATTGTTGTTTTTAGAGTTGGTTTTTTTTTCAAAATCATGAACAAAACGTGATAAGGCCTAAACAGAGTGCTTTTGCTTTGGGGCAATTCGTGGTGCCGAAACTTCCCGTGAAGGCTGTGCAGCCCGTTTGATCTGTCGACTTATCGGAGTCTTTTTCGATAACTCAGAGATTTTTGTACTTTATGCCATTCACGTTTCCAACAACATATAATAGTTTCCAACAACAAAAAATAGTTAAAAAACAAGAAGCTATTTATTAACCAAAATGGTCCCAGAAAACTTGGGTATAGAGCTTTGACCGTGAAAATCGTAGTTCTTAGAGTTCATGTCATCCTAACTCCTTTCAAAACTGCTGACTAAGTGTTTTAAGGCTTGACCATGAGTTTACTTTCAGACATATATCGAATATCGAAACTCACTGTGAAGGCTGTGCAGCACGTTTGAAACTTCGACCTATCGACATTTCTAGACTTTTTTGTATTTTTCTCAATTACTTTTTAGCCACCCATTTCTGAGTAATATGACCAACAAACTGTGTTTTGGAGAAGTACAACGATATATAAAAGTTTTTAAAAAAAGAATTTGTTAACCAGATTGGTCCTAGAAATGTAAGGTCTAATGTTTTTTTTCTTGAAAAACTTCGTTTTTAGAGATTATGACGTCAATTATTCTTTACATAACTACAAAAGAAAAGTTATTAGGCGTGAAAAGAGTTTAAAAGAGTCCGAGCTCTTGTCTTTTAGGCGTTTCGTGGGTACTTTGAGTTGTGCTCTCTGAGTACGTAGTTATTTTTTATGTGTTGTTCACGAAAAAAGACCGCTAAAACTATTCTTGATTACGGTTATTCGAAAACAGTTTAAAGAATTTATTTCTTTTTAGAGAGAAT